ACTGGCTTGGAACCGGAAGTCATAAACAGAAGGGGCGTGCATACCCGGAAATACCTAAACTTTTTTTTTATTTTATTTAATTTTTTTCATTAAACAGTACAAATACAACTTCAAACCAAGAAGGAAGAAAAATAAAGGCTAAAAAGGAGAAAAATTAAACAAAAATAAAATAAATAGAATTAGACGATCGTGTTCGTTCAGGGAAATACCTAAACTCCAACTACCAGAAATCAATCAATCAATCTTTATTTATACAGGTAAATCCCATTGAGCCTCGAGGACTCATTTACAAGAGAGACCTGATTTCAACAAAGAAAGATGACAACAATGGACAACAGCAACAACAATAAACAGTTATAAAAAAGCATACTACAGTTTTTTTTTTAAGAAATAGGATGGCTAAAAGGAAAAGGTAACAAAAATAAATAAATAAATAAAATACGTTTTGTGTTCGAAAGAAACCACAAAAAAAAACTAAAATTAATTTCAAAATTATGTATGAAATTTATCCTTGCACTGACTTTCTGCAAAATAAATTTAATATAGATACCAACTCGTGCATTCTGTTATTCAGATATTGAGGCAGCAGAACACCTTTTGTTTAATTGCAACTTCATTTATGCTTTTTGGAAAGATTTTCAGAACTGGATTATATCTAAGATTTCTATTCCATGGTTAAATTTTAATATAATTAAATTTGGTCTGCTAACAGGGAATGAAGTTTTAAATTACGATAACAACAACTTAATCCTTGTGGCTAATTATTTTATCCACAAATGCCATTTCCTGAAAACTACCCCCTTGTTCAATATATTTTTAAATGAAATAATTTTATTTAAGGAAGTGTTTAAACGCTGCAACCTTCCAAAAGCCCAAGCTTATTTTAATTTGTAGCGTTTTTATTTTGCTGTTTCCTCAAATCGTATTTACTTTTTAAATATAGTCAACAAAATCTACAACTTCCGCTTGGTGTGGCTGGAGGTGACGCATTTCCGGTCAAGTTGGCCGCTGTCCTAGCAACGAAAAAAGGCGGGAACACTTGGAGCTCAACGTAAGATTGACACATCCCCTAGCCAACCAGCGACTTCTACAACACACGAACCCGTCTTTATTTATTTATTTATTCCCACCCTTTCCTGCAGCCCTTCTTAAAAAAAAGGATAATCTTCAAATCGGTTGTTTAACTTAGCGTGGAAGTTAAGACGCTGCCTTCCTGGACACTTAAAACGTGACAAACAAGGTACGTTCACTACGTTGAGACGCTCCGAGGTGCCAGGTACTTTCTGAGTGTCCTGCATAAAATTAACCACTCTCGACCTTTGATATTAGTTACCTGCGAGCGTTCACGTGTTGAACTACACCATGCAGAGGCTGAACCTTTTAAAGTAAGAAGTTCTTAATTCAGAAGACTTTGTACATAAATGTCAGAGAGGTTTTATTGCGTCAAGTTAGACTTTCTCTCATTTTAATCCCCACTTTGCAGGGACTCATTCTTCGGCCTGGATGTTGTCCAGCAGCAGCTTGTGGTTGGTTCTGCTGTGGCCTTGGCAGCAGGTGGAATCCTACTGTACGCCATGCAGAGAAGGCCCAAGGTGAAAACGATCCCACTTGGTGAAGGATGGTGGGGAGCAGGAGAGAAGACCCTGTCAGAGGATAAGAAGATCCACCCCTTCACAGTGAAAACCTCAGATGAAGAGATTAAGGTAGCTGAGCTCTCTGTGGCTCGCCAACTCCTTTAGAAGCTAAAGAACCGACATGGACAGGTCAAGGTGGAGCAAAGGGAGGGGATACTTTTTTGTCGAGAAGTTCCAAGAGTCGATTCTACTAAGAATAATGGCATAAATCAAAATGCAGCCATTGAATATTTAGCAAACATGTTGGAGTTAAAATATAGCTTGCTTTTTGTCTACATTTTGCTCTTTTGTTGATAAATTGTAGTAAGTTTTGTAACTTTAGCTTTTACGAAGCATTTAGATGCATTTATCTTTTAAATATAGATATTTTGTAAGTGAGTTAGTCTACTGATCCCACAGGGAAATGAGCAAAAATTAGCTTTTAACTAACCATTTGCTACTTTTATCTTGTAGCTATTGTTTTGCTTCTATTAGCTAACATTTTGCTACTTTAACATTTAGTTAGCCTTTTGTTACATTTAGTATTCAAACCTTTTTTTTTTTGCTCTCCAACAAAGTTAAGTCAGGTCCTCTGGATGGTTTCTTTTTGTTGAAACGTTTCATCTTTCATCCAGAACACTTCTTCAGTCTGAGGAGCTACAACAAACTCAGGCTTATAAATGGCACCTTCACATAGTGGATCAACCAGTTTGATGGTGCTAAGATGGTTTCTGGAGTCCGTCCTCTCCCCCGCCGACTCGTCTGAGGCAGCCATGGACAAAGTGGTTCAAAACATCCAAGTTCATGCTCAATAATCCAAGTAATAAAATCCAACAAAGTTTCTTTTTGTTGGATTTTTTACGTTGATTATTGAGCATGAACTTTGAAGCTTTTTGCTATATTTAAATTTTGGCTAGCCTTTTGCTACTTTTAGTTAGCATTTTTCTACATTTATCTTTTAAGTACATAGATAGTTAAAGGTACTGGTGCAGCATCTGCAGTATTGCGGCTTCTGTTCCGGTCTGTTGTAGTGAAGAGGGAGCTGAGAAGTTAGGCAAAGCTCTCTGTTTACCAGTCAGTCTATGTTTCTACTCTCACCTATGGTCATGAGCTCTGGATAGTGCCTGAAATAATGAGATTGTGGATACACATGGTTGAAATGAGTTTCTTCTGCAGGGTAGCAGGACTCACACTTAGAGTGAGAAGTTTAGTTATCTGGAGAGACTCTGAGTGGAACTGCTGCTCCACATCGAGAGGAACCAGTTGAAGTGGTTCAGGCAACTGGTAAGGGTGCTCCCTGAACTCCTCTATGCTTCGAGCATGTCCGACTGGGACGAGACCCCGGGGAAGACCCAGGCCAACCGAGAGACTTGAGTGAACACCTTGGAGTCCTCCCAGAAGAGCTGGAGGTGGTGGCTGTGGAAAGAGATGTCTGGACCTCCCTGCTCAAGCTGCTGCCCCCGCGACCCGACATCAGAACAACTGGAAGATAATGGATGGATGGACCTCTTAGCTAGCCATTTACTACTTTTGATTTGAAGCTGGTGTTTTACTCCTTTTTAACTTACCAGTATATGTGTTGTGTTTTTTATTTTTTAGATTTTAGTTCGTGTTCTGTTTTTAGTTTTCACAGCTTAGTTTCAGCTTCGTCTGCAAACTTCAACAAAGTCATTCAGCACTCGGCATCGCCTCCACAGTTTTGTAGGGAATGTCTCCAGTTTGTGGAAGAAACTTGCTGTCACTGGACAACATGCAGATTTTCTATTGTACTTAGTAGCGTCAAAATAACTGAAGTATTTTTTGTTGTTCAACATTTTTGCCTGCATTAAAAAAACACTTTTCTTTAGCGCCTGTTAGATAAAATCACTGATCTATATAATTGATCATCTTTAAACAGATTTGAACAAATCTTATAAACGGGGACCGTTTGTTTCTGATCATCTTAACAAGGAACACGTCATTTTAGTTTCAAATACAAGGATGTTCTTTTTATAAATGAACACTTTACAACCTTAACGATCAAACCGAGCTTTTAATAAATTGATTTAAGCTGGAATTTACACTTTTTTTGTGACCCTCGTAGCACTCACTGCAAAGTCATGAAGACCAGACAGAAAAATTCACCAAGTAATAAATTTAACTTGCACAACATTTTTCAGCAGATTCATCCGCGTGCTTTGTTTACACTGAGCGTGTACATGCATTTCAGAATTGCACGTTATCTGAAAAACTAAAATGCTTTCAAAATGTTGGATCTCATACTTTTGCAGTGAGCGCCTTTTTTAATGTCATTCACCAGGACCTGCATGAGCGCATTGACAAAACCCGCTACACCGACCCGTTGGAAGAAAGCAGCTTCAACTATGGCTTCAACTCCACTTACCTTAAGAAAGTGGTTTCATACTGGAGGGATGAGTTTGACTGGAAGAAGCGGGTGGCCGTGCTAAACCAGTATCCACACTTCAAAACCAAAATCGAAGGTACACACATCTTCACAATCCTTACACTGTATGTGTTCACAAGCAAAAACGGACTACGTATGATTGTGTTATGGTGCAGGGCTGGATGTGCACTTCATTCACGTGCGTCCACCGCACCGAGCGGATCAGAAGGTTGTGCCTCTCATGCTCGTTCACGGCTGGCCTGGCTCCTTCTACGAGTTCTACAAGATTCTGCCACTTCTCACTCAGAACCGCAGTGGCGTTGCGTTTGAGGTCATAATCCCCTCCATCCCGGGCTATGGCTTCTCAGAAGCCCCACATAAACAGGGTAGGTTAAAGTCCCAGAAGTCCCTGTAGGAATGCACATCGCCCGCCACCTTTTCTATTACAGCTAAAGATCAAGGTCATCTTGAGCTGAAAAATGGAGTTGACTGCATTTTGAACAAACGCAACGTTATGTAACTCGTGAGATGTCTCATTCGAAAGTATGTGCTGTGAAACTCGTATCCGTTTTGGCTCAACGTTGTAAAAATGACACTTAAACTCTTGTTTGTTTTTTTCTAAGAGCTGTCGGTTATAGAGGTGCATCCAATGATTACCTTCTGCAAGTTTTATTAAAAATTGTGTAGTCGTTTATGAGATGTATTATTAACAGACACGCACAGACACACGAACTGTTTGTATGAATCTCTGCTTGAATAGCGGATATTTACCATCGGCATGCTTCCTGCTTTTTTCTTCTAAGGATTTAACAGTCTGGCTGCTGCCCGAGTTTTCCTGACTCTCATGGAACGCCTGGGCTTTTCCCAGTTCTATCTGCAAGGAGGAGACTGGGGCTCGCTCATCACCACTAACATGTCACAGATGAAGCCTGAGTGAGCGCAAAACAAGTCGACTTATCACAACAAGCCAAACCATGTCTAAAAGCAGACATTGTGTGAAATAAAGCTTGCATTGTGTGCAGATTACCAAAAACCCTCGACAACACAAATTCCTGCAAAATGCAGCTGATCAGCTTTCCATGTGGACAGACTTGCTTTTACAGCTGTGATTCTTCTCTTCCAGCTGTGTGAAGGGTCTCCACCTGAACATGTGTGTGTCAAACAGAGGCTTCAAAGTGTTGTTGTCTATGATTATTGGTCCGTATCTGCCCTTCCTGGTGGGCTTCAGTCGGGAAGATGTCCGCCGGCTGTTCCCTTACTTTGAGAAGAATGTCTGGGAAATGCTGAGGGAATCTGGCTACCTTCACATTCAGGCCACTAAACCAGACACTGCAGGTGAGAGTGCAAACACATGCTGACTAATGATGGTGGTATGAACAGGTTAAAGATGACTAGTCTCGTTTTCTCTTAAAGGGATAGTCTGGTCAGTTTTGAAGTGATGTTCTGTCAACTAGTTGTCAGTAGTTAGTACCTTATGAACCATGCCGTCAACCATAGATCACGAAGTATGGAGAAAGAAGCGCAAGTCTTCAGGCGTATTCAGAAGAGAATTCTGCGAAATGATTTCGCAGACCAGTCCGTCTTTAAGCTTCCTGTGGCCGTTCACAAATCACCGATGAAGCCGCCACGTCCCGCTCGGATGCGAGCTTCGAGTGGAACCAAAAGAGATGTGGTGCAGAACTCTGCTGGTTTGAAGCGGTGCGCGACGCTAAACGAGTGTTGGACACCTCCCTCGTGTCGGCCACTATAATGAACTAGAGAAATTGCATTTCCCGCGAAAATGCAGTGAACGCTTATTGCTGAAGAACTTCCTGGAAAAACAGCTGAAATTCGCAACAACAACAAAAACAACATGCTGAAATGTAGCTGAAATGGAAGAACAAGCCTAAGTTAGCACAAGAGAACAGAATGAAAAACACGTTTGCTGAATTAGGTATAAAAAGAAGCAGAAATGAGCACAAGAATTAGGAAATTAGCTTAAAAAAAACTGAACTTAGCAAACAATAGCTGAATAGTATCAGAAAAGGCAGACAAAAGTTTAAACTACCAGAAGGAAGTGGAAGGAGCTGAAAGTATCTAAAAAATGTGGAATTAGCTGTAAAAGCTAAATTTAGCATAAAACATCTAAATAATAGCTGAAAGGAGCAGAATCACGTTAATTAGGCTGAAAATAACAGAAATTACCGTGAAAAACTTGAACTTATCCGTGGGAGTGGTGGCACAGAGGTTATGGTGGGCCTGTGATCAGAAGATTACCGGTTCAACTCCCGGTACTGACATCAAAATGTGGGTGGGATAGCTGAACCACCCACACCTGCTTCCACCCTCATCTGCCCCACTCGGAGCCCCTGAGCAAGACCCTTAACCCCCACCATCTGCTCCCCCAGGCGCCCTAGATAGCAGCTCCGCTCCACACAGAGGGCTGTGGTAGCTCGGTGCTCTGTGGTTGCGGCAGGAAGGGCATCCGGCGTAAGGAAAATAAAAAATTGCCAAGTCTTCGTGTGACTTAGTTCGCTGTGGTGACCTCTGACGAATGGAGCAAGGGGAAGAAAAAAAAAACTGAAAACAGCAGAAATTGGCAAAAAAAAATTCTGAAAAGGTAGCTGGAACTGTAGAACAAGCTTAAATTAGCAGAAGAAAGCAGAAAGAACATATTTCCCTAATTAAGCTGAAATAAGCAAAAATGAGCACAAAACCGTAGAAATCATCTGTAAAAAGCTGAAATTACAGTATAAAAAAACCCAGCTGAAAAGTAGCTAAAAAAGCAGAAAGAAGCTTAAATTACCAAAAGGAAGCGGAGCGATCACATTTTTACTGTATTAGGCTGACAAAAATTGAAATGAGTGAAAACAATGCGGCATTTACTGAAAAAGCTAAAATTAGCATAAAAACCGCTAAATTGTATCTGAAATAGCAGAAAAAGCTGAAACTTGCAGAAATGAGCTCAAAGGAGCATAACGAGATTAAATCAGCAGAAAGAAATCAGAAGAATTACAAAAATGTTGTAGTTGAAAAGAATCTGAAAGGATCAGAAAACGGCTGAAATTAGCTGAAAAAAATGTTTAAATTTGCACAAGGAAGCTGAAAGGAGCAGGAAAAGGTTGTAAACAGATCTAAAGATTTGAAGGATGTAAAACAAGCTCAATTAATTTTCTATGTGGGGAAAAAAATGGCAGAAAAGGCTAAATATTTCAAAAAGCTAAAGTTGCACCAACACCAAAAGTCACAGCAGGATTGTCCTGAAAGAGCTGAATGTTTTGATTTATGATTTTGAAACGGCTCGAAAACTTCGGGACGAGAATTGCGCCGAAAAATGTATGAAAGAAAAATGGATCACAACAGTGTGAATGCTTCATAAACATTCACACTGTTAACTCACTTTAGCGATCTTGTTTGTGGTCAACTTTTTTTTTTTTTTAAACCAACTACAAAATTGCAGTGTCATTGTCAATATTCCGTCAGTAAAATATCTGTTTGATGTTTAGTCACAACTGTCATCGGTTCATTGCACAACTGGGCCGCAGCTCCACAGATTTATTTTCTTCACGTCAGTCATCCCGGTCCTGTTTTTATCCCACTGGGCGGCACAGAGGGGCATCAGAGGCCGACTCCGACCCCCCGTCTTCACTTTGGTGTCTTCTGAATGGACCGAGGAGCTCAGAACATTTCAGTCCCGGACTGTGGCGTGTTATGAATGAGGCTTCCGTGCTTTGTGATCAGTGTTTGCACCAACATGACCAGTGAGCCGTTCAGCCACATTTTGAGAGACCAGTGTTTTTTTAAAATCAGGGTTTTTTTTTTTTGTTCACAGCTTAGTAAAACTGCTTAGTCATGCACATTATCAGGACTGTGATCTCCCTGGCAGCACTCATGAATGGTGGGAATAATCTGGAGAAGCTCTGAGCTCGACTTTTGGAGTAAAGGATCAATTCGGCTGTTTTGGAGTTTCCATCAGAGAATATGTACAGTGAGACTTTAAAGGCAGAAACAACAATTCACGAGTTCTGCCTGACCCAAACTGTGGCCTTGATGCCGGACTTATCTCAACTCCTGGAATGTTTTGAAAACAACAAAGATGCTTTGTCTGTCTCCTCACCACCCCCTTGTTCTAGAATTTCGCCGCTCAAGGTGGCTGCATGTTGGAGCAGCTCTGTTACTTTCATTCTGAGATTTTGCTTTTGGAAACTTTAATTCCTACTTTTCTGGATGTAAATCACATTTTTTGGATGATTGTTTCCTCTGGTATCGGATGCTGTGCAGCTGGAAGGATTTTTACTGAAACTTATTTAGTTTTGGACATTTGTTGTTATGTGTAACCATGGCAACAAGGCAGTTTTCTACAACCAACAGCAGCTGATTAACATCTCAAAAGCTCATATAATATCTCGACTACAGCCCCAAATCTAAAATGAGTTGAAAAGGATGTTCTGTGGAAGCATTCTCATCTACCTGCCAGCTGTGCTCGAGTGCCTGATCACTGAGATCCTGGAACTAGCAGGAAACATGGCTCATGACAGAGGAAGAACAGGATCATCCTTTGGCACCTACTGTTGGCTGTCCGCAGCGACGAGGAGCTCGGCGGACTGCTGGGAGTGGCCATCGCTCTGGGAGGAGTTCTGCCTGGCATTTGGGCGGTCCTACAGCCCGAGGGGAACCGAGAGGCCAGCCAAGTCTGGGTGGACGGATCGGATGGCATCTGCAGCCAGTTTCTTAGGATCCGCTGTGAGATGGACCTTTACAAGAGATCCTTCCTGTCTACAGCCATCAGCATCTATAACATCTCTTAATGAAACTAGGATAACGAGTTACAACAACAAATAATTTCCCTTTGGGATTAATAAAGTATTTTTGAATTGAATTGAATTGAATTCCCCAAGGCCGTGGACATGTGACAGAACCTCAACTGAGCTGAAGATGAACGTCACCTCTTATCTGGACTATGCTACAACTTTCCCTTAAAAATTCAATGTTTTCACCGCCTATATGTAAATGTATAACGTCTGTTTATGTTGCTTTGCTGTGGTAGTTTTTTTTTGATGCCTCAAATCGTGCCCTGTCTAGGACACGGTGTGAGAGATCTTTTTTTTTAATACCGTCTCTCCTTATGTTTTCTTTTCTCATCTAAGCAAAATATTATTCCGAATAAGAATAAGAAGGCAGCGCTAATTATTTATAGCCGCAGCTTCGTGCAATCCGCCGATCTTGGGACGACTAAACGTACAAACGGGATTCCAAAAAAGTTGGGACACTAAACAAATTGTGAATAAAAACTGAATGCAATGATGTGGAGATGGCAGATGTCAATATTTTATTCGTAATATAACATAGATGACAGATCAAAAGTTTAATCTGAGTAAATGTAACATTTTAAAGGAAAAATATGTTGATTCAAAATTTCACAGTGTCAACAAATCCCAAAAAAGTTGGGACAAGTAGCAATAAGTGGCTGGAAAAAGGAAATTGAGCATATAACGAACAGCTGGAAGACCAATTAACACTAATTAGGTCAATTGACAACATGATTGGGTATAAAAAGAGCTTCTCAGAGTGTCAGTGTCTCTCAGAAGCCAAGATGGTAAGAGGATCACCAATTCCACCATTGTTGCGTAGAAAGATATTGCAGCAATACCAGAATGGTGTTACCCAGCGTAAAATAGCAAAGACTTTTAAGTTATCATCAACCGTGCATAACATCATCAAAAGATTCAGAGAATCTGGAACAATCGCTGTGCGTAAGGGTCAAGGCCGTAAAACTCTACTGGATGCTCGTGATCTCCGGGCCCTTAAACGTCACTGCACCTCAAACAGGAATGTCACTGTCAGGGAAATAACAGAATGGGCTCAGGAATACTTCCAGAAAGCATTGTCAGTGAACACAATCCACCGTGCCATCTGCCGTTGCCAGCTGAAACTCTACAGTGCAAAGAGGAAGCCATTTCTAAGCAAGCTCCACAAGCTCAGACGTTTGCACTGGGCCAGGGGTCATTTAAAATGGAGTGTGGCAAAATGGAAGACTGTTCTGTGGTCAGATGAGTCACGATTTGAAGTTCTTTATGGAACACTGTGACGCCATGTCATCCGGACCAGAGAGAACAAGGATAGCCCAAGTTGTTATCAACGCTCCGTTCAGAAGCCTGCATCACTGATGGTATGGGGTTGCATGAGCGCTTGTGGCATGGGCAGCTTGCATGTCTGGAAAGGCACCATTAATGCAGAGAACTATGTTCAGGTTCTAGAACAACATATGCTCCCATCTAGACATCATCTCTTTCAGGGAAGACCCTGCATTTTTCAACACGATAATGCCAGACCACATTCTGCAGCAATCACAACATCATGGCTACGTAGGAGAAGGATCCGGGTACTGAAATGGCCAGCCTGCAGTCCAGATCTTTCACCTATAGAGAACATTTGGCGCATCATAAAGAGGAAGGTGCGACAAAGAAGGCCCAAGACGATTGAACAGTTAGAGGCCTGTATTAGGCATGAATGGGAGAGCATTCCTATTTCTAAACTTGAGGAACTGGTCTCCTCTGTCCCCAGACGTCTGTTGAGTGTTGTAAGAAGAAGGGGGGATGCCACACAGTGGTAAAAATGGACTTGTCCCAACTTTTTTTGGGATTTGTTGATGCCATGAAATTTGGAAACAACAGATTTTTCCCTTAAAATTATACTTTCTCTCAGTTTAAACTTTTGATCTGTGATTTGTGTTCTATTCTGAATAAAATATTAGATGTTGGCAACTCCACATCATTGCATTCAGTTTTTATTCACAATTTGTTTAGTGTCCCAACTTTTTTGGAATCCGGTTTGTACATATTCGCGTTGTATCTCGGTGCAATGTCAATAAAGTTTATTCTGATTCTGATTATGTCAGCCTTGGCTTGTTTTGTGCAGCCACTCCCTCGTTTAATAATAATAATGCATTTTATTTGTTAGCGCCTTTCAAGACACTCGAGGACACTTCACAACATTAAAAACACAAAATAAAACAATATAAAATGGCTATAAAACACTAAACCAAGAAGAAAATAACAAGAAATTAAAGTGAGAGTTTTGAGTTGTGATTTGAAGGTCTGAACGGAGTCGACATTACGGATGTCAGGGGGAAGAGCGTTCCAGAGTTGGGGAGCAGAGTGAGACACGGTGCTGAGGCGGACGAGAGGCACGTTGAGGTGGACGGAAGAGGAAGAACGAAGGGAGCGTGGAGGGGTGACGTGCAGGAGATCAGATGGGGAGGGGCGAGGTTATGGATGGCCTTGATTGTGTACAACAGGATTAAATTGAATTAAAATTAGATTAAAATTTCATCTGCACCTTTGAAATGAAGACGGATCGGAATCAGTTTTTTTTTTACTAATTATTTATTATTAGTGTGAGTTTTAGATCTGGTCTGTCTTGGATGTTTCCTGTCAAATCGTTTTTGAGATGAGTTGGAGACGCTCACAATGACTTTCACGAGAAAAGCTAATTGTTTAAACGTGCTCAAACCTGAAGCGACGGGCCGTGCACCTGTGACTCGCACGAGGATGTTGAAAACTCCTTGGAAGGTGTTTGAATGCTGGTCACAGCTCGGTGAGATAAGATCGTAAGGTACCGTATTTAACAGAACACCACTTCAAAAGTACTAGACCGTCCTTTCAAGAAGTCCAGTTTTGAGCAGTTCAGAATATTTAAACTGTGCTCTTGTTTTTGTCCTTGAAGGCTGTGGACTGAACAGCTCACCTGTGGGTTTGGCAGCTTACATTCTGGAAAAGTTCTCCACCTGGGCGGATAAGAAGAACAGAGATCTGGAAGATGGTGGACTGGAGAGGTACGTCTCAATCACATGGACATATTTATTTAAACATTATCTAAAAATAATTCTTGGTTCATCACAAAAATGATTAACTTTTTTTATACAAGTCATAATTATAGGAGTGGGGTTTTTTTTTGTTGCTACTTTTCCTTTTAATTACTATTTTATTTTCACTTGTTTAAAAATAATAATTTGTACGCATCCTTCATGATTGTCTATTGTCCACTGTTGTCATCACTCTGTTAAAATCAGGTCTCTCTTGTAAACGAGTCCCCGAGGCTCAGTGGGATTAACCGGTCTAAATAAAGGTGGAATGAATAAAATAGTTCTATGCAGATGGATTCAGCAAGATTTGAGGGATTGTTTCAGTCTATTAAATAAAAACTACGACTCTTGCACAGAAAATTCAGCCTGGACGACCTCTTGACGAATGTTATGATCTACTGGACCACAGGCTCCATCGTCTCCTCCATGAGGTTCTACAAAGAGAACCTTAAAGGCAACCCCAGCAACCGAATCGATGCAAAGTAAGAGGCAGAGTCGTACTGACTTTTGTTTTTTTAAGTTTTTAAATCTTGTCATGTGCATTCCCTAACAAAGGCTCGTCCTTTTGTTTTAGGACGGGAACATTTGTCCCCACTGGATTGGCTGCTTTCCCGCAGGAGCTGATGCACTGCCCCAAATCGTGGGCACAAATTAGGTATCGAAACATCCAATCCTACACGTTCATGCCTCGAGGTGGCCACTTCGCTGCCTTTGAAGAGCCTCGGCTGCTAGCTGACGACATTATCCAGTTTGTCAAGAAAGTAGAAAAGCTCTGAACCCTTGAATGTATTCTCAGACCAGTGCAGTAATTGTATGGTTTTATTATGACATCCTTTACAAATTCTTCTATTCTCCTTTTGTCACAATGTGCCTCGTTAAAATGTTTCAAAAGCTGTAAACGTATACAGATAATTCATTAAACTGTTCAAGTTATGCTCAGTAAAAGTATATCGCATGAATAGTCTGCTGCTGTGCTTTTTGTGCATGGAAATTCCTGAATTAAAAATGGAGACAATGTTCACATCACCCATCTGGAAACGGGTTTATAATATGCAAATCTCATAAACTTGGATTTTATTTATGGTGGAACGTCGTAAACGTCAATGAAGAAACTAAAAAAAAATTTAAAAAAGTAGTTTGTGAAAAAAGCCTTCTTAAATTTGTAGGCGGCAACGCATCTAAAAGAAATTGGGAAAACAAGGATGTAAACAACTGGAGCATCCTGATGCATGCTCGATAATCCAGGCAGAAAAATCTAAAATAAAGTCGGGTCCTCTGGACGGGTTCAAAAACCAAAATAACTGAAGGAGCATTCAGCAACTAATGAGGTTAATGGTCTCGGGACAGACTGGGTATCATTTAAAGTTGAATCTCTGAAGTAAAGATGGGACAAGATTCCCCTCCATAAACTAGTAACCACTCCTAGGGGTGCACCGATTGCAGTTTTCTGGCCGATCACCGATTTCTAAAAAGTCTGAGCTGCCGATACGATCTAGTTTTATAAGCGACACGGTCGGGTGTTAAGGTCACAATGCACCTTCAATTTTCCAATATTTTATTGAAAAAACACCCTTGAACAATATCCTAGAAACAATACAAGCTTGTTTTAACTGATCGTGAAGTAGTGCTCTGAAATATAAATTAAGTTCAGACAATTGTTAAAACTTAAAAAAAAAAAATCAGTTTCTCAAAAGTATCGGCCGATTTCTTAAAATTAATGAAATCGGGGCCGATAAATTGTCTGGTCGATTAATCGGTGCACCCCTAACTCCAACAGAGTTATCAGGTCATCTGGACGGTTTCTTTTCTTTTTCTGTTGAGACGTTTCATCTTTCATCCAAAGGACTTCATCAGTCTGAGAAGCCACAACTAACTGAGTCCCATAAGCAGCACCTTTACATGGAGGGCCAACCAGTTTGCTGGTGAGAAGATGGTTTCTGGAGCCTGCCGTCTCCCCCGTCGACTCCTGAGGCAGCCATACCCCGTTTGTGGGACTGAGTTTGTTGTGGCTTCTCGGACTGATGAAGTCCTTTGGATGAAACATCTCCAAAAAAAAAAAAACTGTCCAGATGACCTGACTTAACTTTGTTGGATTTTTTTAAATCTGGATTGCTGAGCATGAACTTAGATATCTAGTAACCACTCTTCAGTTCCTGGATTGTTTGGACATGTCTCTGTTACAACTTTAAACTGCTGCTGCCATAAAATGCTAAATTACCCTCCTCTCCCCACACACACACAAAAAAAAAAAAAGTTCTGGAACTTTTTAACATTTTATGTCTTTACCTTGTTTCATTGTGAATAATATATGGGTTTATGAGATGTGGAAATTATTGCAGTCTGTATTTCTTTTTCTAAAGTCCCAACCTTTTCAGAGTTTAAGCTGCAAGAACTCTATAGTACTGGATGGATTACTTGGATTATATGCTGTGAAACAAAAACAAAAAAACCTGCTTGTTAAAACATGTACAGCTTAATTTAACATTCAAGTTTAATGTTTAATTAAACACTCAATGAAATGCACCATTAGACACAACTGTGTGCCGTAAACCTTTCAGGTCAGTTTCTGAACCCTTTAATGGCCATGGGGGCCTGAAACCACACAAAATCCTGCCAGTCTGAGCCTCCTGGCCCCTTACAGGTGCTGGGATCAGTGGACAGAGCAATTATTTGGTTTTTGACTCGAGTTGGGACTTTGAAATGTAGTTTAGGGCGAAACCAGCCGACACCGCAGTCCCTATGAGCCAGTGCTAACACAGTGGTGGGCATCAAGCGGACGGGTCTGGTGTCTGACAAAATGTCGGCAACGAAGAGAGTGCGGAAGAGTTGCTTCAAGCACGACGACACTCGCAGAGACTGATCACCGGCGGCCAGCACCAGGGCCTCCATGTTGATCTCGTACAGCTCCATGGGGAGGATGACCGAGCCTCCCATCAACAGTAAAACGCGGGGGACCCTGCTGAGGGAAAAGAGCACCTCCAGCTGCTGCAGCACCTCCTCCAGCTCCTGAAGAGTCTGTTGACATTTACGCCGCTCCATATCTGCAGATTGCGCTGGCCTCCTACTCGCTGCGTCTTTATCCTGGAAAGCAAAACCCGTTCGTTTATCTCAAAAACTTCGTTTCCTCACTTAGCTGAAATTATAAGCACACCTGCACTGAAGTTTGCTGCTTCTTCTGGGAATACACCAGCTGGTCATACGTCATGGGCAGCTGCTGTCTCTGATAGAGAATGCACTTGAGGATCTCGCTGACAAAATGGTAGCAGCTGTTCTGGGTTACGACGCCAGGGAAGACCACGTTCACGCAGCCTTCTTCCCGCGCTCGTCTCACCACCTCCGCATCTCTTTCCTCCGTGTCGGGGTGCTGTTGACTGGCTGTCACGCGAGACTCTTGACCAGAAGCGTTGCCTGTATGGAACCAGAGTAATGTCATTAGAGAAAGTAATGGACTAGTCTCAGTCAATTTCAGCTGGTAAATTAAATTTCACCAAGCCCCATAAAGCCAGCGAGATTAAGCTTCCCATCTGCTATGCAAATGCATGAATCTAGTTGTGGAGAAAAATTATAGTAATTCTAAAAAAAAAAGATCCAAACTGACAAAATGTTGCGTGTTATTGACATTAAACAGTGTTCAGTGTATATAAAAATCACAGAGCATTCATTATATCGACTCATTTGACTCAAAGCAATTTATCTTTAACACTTTATGAAATTTTCTGCAGGCGGCACGGTGGCGCAGTTGGTAGAGCCTCTCAGCGAGAAGGTCACAGGATCAAATCCGGAGACCTTTCTGGGTGGAGTTTGCATGTTCTCTCTGTGCAAGCGTGGGTTTCCTCCCACAGACCAAAAACATGCATGTTAGGCTGATTGGTAACTCTAAATTGTCCCTAGATGTAATTGTTGCTCGTCTCCATGTGTCCCTGTGATGATCTTGGACCTGTCCAGGGCAGGGTGTCCACGCCTCTCGCACAGTGACTGCTGGACATGGGCACCAGTGACCCCCCACGACCCGAAAAGGAAGAAGCGAGTAAAGATAATGGATGCTTTCTCATTCAGAGATATAATAAATGTCCATCCTTTAATTTACACATTTAGAGTCAAAAGGATGTTTCTTTTTTCCTCCCAGAATGAGTGCCGTCAGCTCCAACACCAATATAACATAATTCTGTGCACAATTTTTTTATCTGATCTACAACTTTTGAGTTAGCACAGTTCAAGATGGCTGCCACAGTTAACCTACCATAAAACTGGCTGCAACTCAGTGAATTTTAAAGCTGCTGAGCTAAAACGTGGTGTTGCAATAGCTGAGAGTGGTTCACAACACATGCGTGAGCGCTACATGTGGTGACGCCACATAAGATTATTTAAAGGTTTGAGCAAAATTACAACTAGATCAGTAAAACCATGGTATGAAAGGCAGCTTCTTCAAGAATCCCATGTATTTTGTTACTATGAATGTTGCCACAATATGCTGGAATAACAGGTTTAATCCTTGTTACAGCAAATTATAATAATGATAAACATGTTAAGAAATAAAGGGACTGTCTCCTTCTGTAACAGAACCATTTAATAAACTTGTCTTAATAAATATCCACCTCGACGTTTGATAAATACACGAGTCCTTGTGAGATTTAACCATTGTACTTAAGTAATGCCAACTATAGTTGTTTAGTTGTGTTACCTTCAGTGATGTCTGTGGGGGGGACAACAGCATTTTCTTTATCTTCAGTATTGTTCGCTCTGTTCTGTTTAAGAGAAACGTCTTTACGGTTAGCAGCATTTTTCTCCTCTGTACATTCGCTGATGATAGCCTCCTCCGATGGGAGTCGTTCGGCATTTTCCGCAGAAAGTCGGCAAACAATTTGTAAACTCGGGACTAAACGTGCGGTATTCGGTTCTTGCGCTAAGCTAATGTTCTTTTTGAACGAAAACGACAGGCGCTTCTTCACTCCACCGTCTCCGTCGGCGATACTGGGCACATTTTCAGTGTATTCCGAGTTTGAACTGAAGGGCTCCGCCATATTTTTGAATGTACGCGCCTGGACGTGACCGCGCTGCATCATGGGGAATCCTCGAAATGCTGCATTCAGCTACAGATAAAAGAGTCGGAAAATAGCAATTTTACTTAAAATAGCTGTTGTTGTCTTAAAACATTTTTTTTCAAACGACGCATTTGTTTTCATATTTTTATCACTTCGTTCTAATAGTTTAGTGTGCATGCTTTATAAACCCATTGTTATCATAATTTCGCAACCTAATATTGTTTCTTTTATTTCTCGCTGTATAGGTGAATTTACGGCGTTTGAATCGTAATGCGTCATGTCTTCAACGATCATACATTTCATTGTCAAACGCTGGTTTCATTGATTAGTACCGAACACAGCAAAATGTAACTTCTAGGTAAATTTATAAAGTTTTATGAGTTTTCCGTTTTTTAAAAAGGCAACCCTGATGAAACAGACATATAATACGCTACCCCCCTCTAGTGGCTAATCTGCGCACTGCATCAGGAAATTGAGGACAAGCCCAGGTGTGATCATTAATTAGACGCTGCTAATTATAAATCTAAAATACCTGGCGGTGGTTCCGATTTATTTTTGTTCAACAAATAATGTCTTCAGTACGAGTTGCTGTTCGAGTCCGTCCCATGAGCAAAAGGTTCGTCCCGTAAAAATGGTTGTTTTTGTTTGAACCGAACTTTCAAAATAAACTTAATCGCTTTTAATTTCACAGGGAAAAGCAGCTGTCTTCGAAGGTGATCGTTCATATGAAGGAGAACACGACGTCTGTTCATAAGGTAGGCTATATATTACGACAGAGGGAACTATACTAGAATAAAAATAATTGAAACTATAGTTTATTTTAAATTCCAGCCTTCATCTGTACGTGGAGACAAGCTGAAGGACCGAGGGAAAATCTTCACATTTGACTACTCCTATGACTCCACTGATAAAGAGAGTCCAACATTTGCATCTCAGGAGAAGGCATAGTTCTTTTTTCTCCTATAGCTTTTATGGAGTTGTAAAATTGCTGGAAAATTATTACAAACTTTGAAGTTTTCTTTTTCTTTCAGATCTTCCAAGACCTGGGGACTGATGTTCTGAAAGCTGCGTTTGAGGGGTTTAATACTTGTGTGTTTGCATATGGTCAAACCGGCTCAGGCAAATCCTATACCATAATGGGTCCAAAAGTAAGAATCTTCTGACTTTTTCAATTCAATTTGTTGTGTATTTAGCTTTAATGTACAGAAAGTCATTTCAGGACACAAATAAAACAAGCAGCAACGAATGCATGTACAAACAGATAGTAGAGCAATTAAAGATGGCAACCAGCGGTCTAAGCTTATCCCAGCATAACTAAGGGATTGCTGCAGGAAACCATAACTATAGGATTTATCCAACGGAAAAGTCTTAAACTTAGTCCTAAAAGCAGAAGTGCCCCCTTCACCTACAGAAGTTGATTCCTGAAGAGAGGAGCCTAACAAGCTCTACCTCCCATTCCACTTTTAGAAACTCTAGGAACCACAAGTAAACCTGCAGTCTGAGCTGAAACGCTGTTTAACAAAACGTGGAACAATAACATTTTTAATGAGATGGAGCTTTATTGTTGAGAGCTTTTCATGATAGAAGTAAGATTTTATCAATTATATTCTGAATTTGACGGGAAGCTAAAAGTGGAGCTGATCTCTCCTTGACGCTCATCACAACTCTGGCAGCAGCATTTTGGATCAACCCAAGATGTTTTAAAGAAGTACGTGTTTGGACATCCAGATAATAAACCATTGCAATAGTCCAGTCTAGACGTGACAAATGCATGAAACAGTTTTCTGCATCATTTTTTAGGTAAGAGGTTTCAAATTTTAGCGATCTTGCGCAGGTGGAAGAAGGCGGTTCTGGTAACGTTTTTAATGTCTGCGATTAAACAAAGACATGTCCTGATCAAAAATAACACAAATATTTTTAACATTAGAACTGGAGGCCAGATTAACGTCATCTAAGGAAGGAGAAAGACTGAAAAATGTATTCTTGAGATGCTCAGGTCCAAAAACTAACCCCACAGGTTTTGTTAGTCCTTCTACATCGACCCCAATGTCATTCTTTTCCTGTTGATTTTGAGTTTTATCACATTTTAAAGGCATAAAAACAAAGTGTACTGGATAGTAACTCTTACACCAAGTATCTGCGTACTCTGGCATCGTGTCTGTGTAAAAACCAGCTGACTGCAGCCTCATTAGACCGGCCTGTCTCCACCACTAATCAGAAAATTTGATGAGTGCCCCCACCCCCATCTCACCTTGCGCTGCAATGAAAACTTCACATTACGAGTGAGGTTTGTGCAAGGTCACCAGCAGACTTGCTGTCAACATCACAGATAATTACAGATGGCTCTTAACGCTGACTATCTGTTCCTTTGTAATTAAAAACCGGAGCGTGCCGTTCAGAGTGGGATTGCTTTTATGCTTCAGTAACTCCACATCAGATGAGCTGATGTTTTGTTGTTCAGCAGCCCGCGTGCGCCGAGGTGCGTTTACGGCCTGGTGTTGACGCACAGATTAAAAACGAAACACAATGGGATCTAAATGTAGTCGTCATCCGAGTGTGCTCATTGTTATTTCCAAGGGTTCTGAAGATTTTAATTTTTAATTTTAGGTGGCTAAAGGTTTGATCCCACGGATCTGTGAGGGCTTGTTCTTGGAGATTTCGAACAGATGCATGAGCGGGATTGTGTCATTTCGTACAGAGGTCAGGTAAGACGGCTTTACAGCCACCAACATCTGCTTTTAGTGAACGCTCCTGTTTTATCACCACCTGGTGGGCACGGATGTTTTTGCCATTATGTTTCAGTTGGCAACAAAACTCTGCACCACTGGATGGATTTTAATGAAACTTTAAGGAAAATAAATTTCATGTTCATTTACAAAATAAATTTTTTAAAATCACTGTTGCAGAATTTAAATACCTTGGTTTGGTGCAAGATCCTCACCTTTAATTTGATAAACATTTAAAGACTATTTAAAAAACAATACAAAGTAATGGTTTCAAATGAATTAAACTATCCAGTCAGCCTTACTATATCCATTTTTTTTATTTTTTTTTATTTGTCACATCATATTGCAGGACAGCATGGGCTCAGGCCTTCAACTGCAACCAAACACCTTCACTCTTTATACAGTCGGGCTGATAAAAAGTCAATCCGCTTTCAAATCACTGAACCATATATATATAGAATATAATCTGAGCTTTGATAGCTTTATTAGTTTTTGTTTTCAGAGTCAGAGTCAGAGTTTCTTTATTGTCACTCGCACCTCATGTGGTACATGTGGTGGAGCGAAATTATGTACACAGGGTCCCAGTTACATCCCACAATAAAATGTATAAGAAAAACAGTAATAACATCTAAGATATGAACTAAGAAAAACATCAACTAAATATACACTAAGCACTCATAACATAAAACATTGAACATCAGCACAAACATGAACATGTGTGTGAGCAGATGTGCACGCATGAACACATCAACATTAAAACAGATCAGCAGCAACATGAAACAGATCAGCAGCAACATGAAACAGATCAGCAGCAACATGATATGGTTTTTCACAGTGATTATTCTGGTTAGAGATTCATGAGTCTAACAGCCTCAGGGTAGAAGCTGTTCCTCAGTCTAGTGGTTCTACACTTAATGCTCCTTAACCTCCTTCCTGAGGGGAGCGGGGCAAAAAGTGTGTGTGCTGGGTGAGTGGGGTCCTTCATGATGCAGGTGGCCCTCTTCCTGCATCTGGAGGTGTAGATGTCTGTGATGGTGGGGAGACTGATTCCAACAGATTTCTGTGCAGCCTTCACCACTCTCTGCAAAGCTTTTCTTTCTGCAGCTGTGCAGCCTCCATGCCACACATTGATGCTGGAGCACAGGATGCTCTCCACTGCACACCTGTAGAAGGAGGTGAGGACTGAGCTTCCCAGACCAGCTCGTCTCAGCCGCCTGAGGAAGTAGAGTCTCTGATGAGCTTTCTTGATCAGGCTGGTGGTGTTGTTGCTCCAGCTGAGGTTCAATATTTATTCAGCTGTAAATGTACATTTGATTTTTAGTCTTCAAATGCAACCGATGGTTTTTGAGATGTTATGCTAACAAATGCACATAAGATGTTGCTAGATTTTAAACCTCTAAAGTCGACTCCAGTTAATGGACATATTTCCATTTTATATTCTATAATCTTCAGAATTTGATAAGTGCAGAAACTGTCAAAAGTGAAGTTTATAAGAAAAATCTCTTCTTAAAGATTTTAATTTGAGTTTTGTTTAAGATTTTGAGGAAGAAAAATTTAATCTGAAATAATCTAGCACCTGAATTATTTTACTTTAGTTGAAACAATCTTGTTGCTTCATGCTTTCTGGATAATTTATTGTAGTTTAACGTTTCATTTGACTCATTAGTGAAGTGGTTTAACACTAAAACTGCTGAAATTGCTATTCCCTATAAAACAGGCCATTTGAGCCCCAGCGGATTCTGCCTCTAACGATACAAAAATAAATAAATAAAAAGTTTGGTAGTTTGTTCATTATGTAGTTTTGGTTAAGTCTTATTTATAAAAAAAAAATAAAGTCCTTATTTTAAACTTGAATGTGGAGAGAAAAAACTGACTAATGCGAAAGAGACCTCAGAATGTTTCCATTCAATAATTGCAGGAAATCATGTTTTCTAACATTTCCAAAATGTTTTTAAAGTCAATTGAAGTTTTTGATTTAAAAAAAAAAAATCACATTTTAACTTGAATGGATTCTCAGCTCTGTTCTAGAAAAGCGTGAACGGATGGATTTAGTCATTTTTATCCACTTTTTGTCTTTACGCCCAACTGTCTGACTCTGGGCAGATGTTTGTTTAGTCATCGTTCTGTCGAACCTACTTTGCATATAATTTCTGATTGTTCAGTTCCAGAACGATCAGAACCACCAAACTTTTTATGGGCGGCTGTGAAAAGTTGTGAATGTTTATGAAGCAAACATTCACACTGATCCATTTTCCTGCATCTGTCATTCCACAATTTTTGTACTATTTCAACAAATCCTATCAAAAGGTTCAGCTCGTTGGTATTGGTGCAACTTTAGCTCTTTGAAATATTTAGCCTTTTCTGCCACTTTATTTTTCTCATAAAAAATGAATAGAGCTCATTTTACATCCTTCACATCTTTAAATTTGCACAAGGAAGCTGAAAGAAGTTGAACCACAACAAAATGTGAAAGGAGCAGTAAAAAGTTGTAAAAAGATCTAAACTTTTTCAACTACTTCAGCTGTTTGTACTCCTTTCAGATTATTTCTAACATTTTTGTGCTTCTAATTTCTTTTTGCTCCTTTCAGCTTATTCTACAAGTTAAACTTTTTCTATTTCAGATACTATATAGCTTTCTTTTATGTTAAGTTTAGCTTTTTTTTTTTGGCTAATTCCTCATTTTTTGCACTCATTTAAACTTTTTTTCAGCCCAATTCAGCAAAAATATGCGCTCTCCACTTCCTTCTGGTAATTTTTGTGCTTATTTAGCTACTTTTCAGATGCTTTTGTGCAAATTTCTGCTTATTTAAGCCTAATTGGACGTGTTCTTCTGCTAATTTAATCTTGTTCTACCTGTTCAGCTACCCCTTTTTTTTTTTTTTTAAAGCTAATTTTCAGCTGTTTTCAGAGATTCAATAATTTTGTGCTAATTTCTGCTACTTTCATCCCAATTTATTCAGCTAATTTCAGCGTATGCTCCTTTCAGCCTATTTTTGCTAGTTTTAGCTTTGTCTGCTATTTCAGCTAATTCAACTTTGTTTTTTATTTTGTTTTTTTCCCCAAGCTCATTTCAGCTCCGTTTCCTTCTGGTAGTTTAATAGTTTTCAGCTAATTTTCAGCTTTTTTTTAATTTTTACCAAATAATTTCAGCTTTTACAAAAATTTTTTTTTTTTAGCTAATTTACTAATTTTGCTAATTTCTGCTTATTTGAACCTAATTCAGTAAACATATTCTTCTTCCTTCTAACTTGGGCTTGTTCCATTTCAGCTACATTTCAGCATGTTTTAGACAATTTCAGCTGTTTCTCATCAATAAGCATTCACGCTGCATTTTTGTAGGAAACAACTGCTCTAGTTGTGTTGGTTTTGTGGTATTGAGAACCTGATGTATTATTTTTTTTTGTAGCTATCTGGAGATCTTCAGTGAACGTGTGCAGGACCTTCTGAGAAGGAGATCCCCGTGCACGGACAGAGGCTTGAAAGTGAGGGAGCACCCCGCTGATGGACCGTTCGTAGAAAGTAAAGACTCTTTATTCTCTCGTCCGTCTTACGAGTCCCTTCCTGCGTTCTAAAACGACTCGTACGTAGATCTGTCGAAGCACGTCGTGCACGGCCTCGGTGACGTCGAGAGCTTGATCAGTCTCGGCAACGCCAACCGCACCGTCGCGAGCACGGGCATGAATGACTTCAGCAGCCGCTCGCACGCCATCTTCACCATCATGCTCACCCAGGTGAGCCACCTTTCAACTTGCAGCTGGAGGCATTTAAAAGCTGATCTTGTTCAAAAACGACCAGTTGTAGCCGTTTCTGGTCTAAACATCGCGTGAGCTCGTGCTTAACGTCACTTCCAAATTTTTCCAAACTTGTAGCCGTCGTCTAGTGTTGATCAGCTGTGGCGTCCATCTTGGATTGGGTTGATTCCAAAATTAAATCCGTTGTAAATTAATGAGTTTTAATAAAATCAATCCACTGGTTTGAGATATTTTGCTAACGCCGATACGAATGAGCAAAGGTAAAGCCGTCGTTGATGCTTTGCTCTCAGCAGCAGGTGCTAATGATCCCTGTTCATTCCTTTTTATAGCATGAACAGTTTGTGGCGGTTTAGTTTGATCCTCGGTGATGTCTTGTTTTGATTTCAACAAAATTTCTCTGCAGTGTGTGAATACCCCCCCTCTTCTCGTACCACAGGCATGGTTTGATGCGGAGCTGCCACGGGAGAGGCTGAGTAAGATCCACATGGTGGACTTGGCAGGCAGCGAGCGAGCTGACGCCACACACACCACAGGCGCCCGGCTGAAGGAAGGCGCCAACATCAACAGATCCCTGGTCACCTTGGGGAGTGTGATCTCGGCTCTCGGTAAAAACTGCACGCAGCTCGCCGGACGCGCTGCGACAGATCGTCAGCACAGACTACGACCGTCTTTATTCGTTTTATAACGCTGCGTTACATGGAGGGTTAGCCATTTATTGAATCTTTTTTAATTTAATAAGAATTAAAAATAAAGGCCCAATTCATGCCAATTTTAAAGATGAAGATGAAAAATATTTAAGGTCAAATCTTGAAAGTGTTCAATCTGTTCAGATCATTTAAAAAAAAATCAATATTTCTAAAATGACTGAGTTGGATCTTTGTTCTCTAAGCTCAGTTGGCTGCGGCGGCCATCTTGAATCTTGATTACAGTTTATCAGCTGTGTGTGCATGCAGTGATCATTTCTGGAGACGTTTCAGTGGTTCATGAGATATTTTGCTAACAGATGGTTGACTCCAAATGGTGCAAAATCTTTGTTTAAACATTCACCATTACCTGTTAGGGTTGGACGAGTCGGTTACTACAAGAGGGGAAAAAGACGCATTTTTCAATGTTGACTCGCTGCGTCGGCCATCTTGCAAGGCTGTGATCCAACTGTTCACACATCCACAAAATCGTATTTTTGTCTACCATTTTGAAGCGGTGGACAATTTAGATTTTTGTTCGCGAAACGTTGTCTTAGAAACTAAACACTAGTAAAGTAATGGTGTACAGATGAACTGAAACGGACCATGATGCACTGCAGTCTAAACGTGCTAAACGTGGCTGTTCAGTTTCTCTTCAGATGAGCTGAAAAGGCTTTTTATCGTTTCCACGTGTCTGCCTGCGAGTGCTGTAGGGCTGAGAACTGATCCTTTTTTTATTTTTTAAATTAAAACAGTCGAGATGTTAATCACAATATAAGGTGAATGTGACTTCAACTGTTACGCTGTGGCTTGCTTTTTTTTTTATATTTACGCACACAACTTTTAAAATCCGTTCTGAAAGGTCTCGTGTGGCCGAAGCTGGCAGCCCATGGTTAAGCAACAAGTACAACGTGTGTAAAGTTTTATTATGGAGACTATGTTCCTCAGATTCAAGTGTATAATCCGATTTATCCTGCTGGGGTTTATCTGACAGTGACATCTTGGTGCATAATTACGACGTACGCAGAGTTAAAGTGGCGTTTTGACGCGGAGCTGTTCGTTAACCACAACATGGTTGGAACTCCCAATGAAGACGCAAACATGGCTTCTTTTATTTTTAACGGGCGCTTTAATGAATGCCGTGAAAACTATAGAAATAAGACGCAAAATACAGGAAAACAAAATACAAAACTTTAGGTACTTCAGCGAGTGACGAGTAAAACGTGCTTTATCATTACCGCGTGGCCGCATGTCATTTAAGAGGCGAATATTTTTAGTCTTGTGCACTCTAAATTAACATATAAAATAATTAGAACACCAACTGACAGATATGAAACACATAACGGGTACAAAATACCTTTACAGCTAACTAGCTGCTGCAGATCACTTGTGGCTCCAGGTATCTGCGTAGAGCGCACGAGCGGGTCTCGCACGCCCTTCACGCTCACACAAACCTCACGGTAGAATAGAATTCAACTTTATTGTCATTGCACATGTCACAAGTACAAAGCAACAAAATGCAGTTTGCGTCCATCCAGAAGTGCTTGGCAAAAAATAAATTTTATACATCTATATATATTACAATATACAGGAAGTTGCTTTGAATATGCTATAGTATAAATATATATGGTATGCAGCTGTATGCGATAATGGTACAACAGAAAATGGTACTTTGTGACAGAATGAATGCATCTTATACAAAAGATGACACATTTTCAAAATGTGGACCAAACAAATTAAAATAAACTACTGAAGACGAATGCATAAATCATTGTAGTGACACTTTCAGCGGTCGACGTGGTGCACGAGTAACTTGAGCTCTGTTCAGAACGTTCAGTCGTGAAAATGCATCCAATGATTTGATCAGCATGCTTGATTTTAAATCCAGTGTTGTGAGATATTTTGCTAACACAAACATAATAAACTGCCTTTCAGCTGTGGGTGATTAAATCTGGTGTAGTGGTGGAACTCAAACCACTTCCAACGGTAGATGTTGTTAAAAAAAAATTCTAATTCATGTGAAGAAAACGGTGACTTAAATATTGCAGCTTTATAAATTTTTATTTGTCATTGAAAATAGTTTTCTTCCATCTATTGATCGTTAGAGCTTCAGAAGTGAATCGCTTCATGTCGGCGCTGCTTTGAGGCTCTGAACATTTTTCTCTGTTTGCCGTGACCTTTCAGCTGACCTCAACGTTGGCGAACAGCCGTCAAAAAAGAAGCAGGTCTTCATTCCCTACACGGACTCCGTGCTGACGTGGCTGCTTAAAGAAAGCCTCGGTGGAAACTCCATCACCACCATGATCGCAAGTACGCAGACGTTTTGAACCTTTTGGGTCTAGTCTTATCAAATCAAAGGTGGATGCGTTTAAATTTTGTGCGTTGTGATTTCACATGGCAGCGCTTTCCCCTGCTGACACGAACTATGTGGAGACTCTAAACACGTTGCGCTGCGCGATCCGCGCCAAGAGCATCCTGAACACGCCCAGAGTGAACGAAGGTGGCGGCGTGCAGGTGATCAGAGAGCTGCAGGCCGAGGTGACCAGGCTCCGAACTCTGCTAGAAGCCACTCAGGTGCCGAGCGCACGGAACGCGCCGTCAAGGACATCGCAGCTTTTTCATTTGAGATATTAAACCTGTTTTTCTTCTTTCAACAGGTGGAAACGTTCGGTGAACAGTGCGAGAGCGTGTGCGATCAGACTCAGAATAATCTGCAGGTACACAGTTTATTTACTTCAGCATTTTAACATTTGAGCTTTGGATTAGTGAATGTCTTGGTGCCAGCTCTTAAAACTCAAGGGAATTAAAAAACAAAAACCTGCTTGTTAAACACTTACATGCACAGCTTAATAAGCATCAACACTGTTGTAATCCTGTTTTATTTCTTATGGCTATTCCATACATTTTCAGCATCAGTCTTGTTACGCAATTTTTGTGCTATTTCAACAAATCATAAAACAAAACAATCGGCTTTTTCAAGACAATCCTGCTCTGACTTTAGGTTTTGGTGCAACTTTAGCTTTTTGAAATATTTGAGCCTTTTCTGCCATTTTGTTTTTTCTCATAGAAAATGAATTGAGCTCATTTTACAGCCTTCACATCTTTAGATCCGTTTACAACCTTTCACTGACCCTTTCATATTCGGTTCAACTTCTTTGTGCAAATTAAAAATAAAAAAGCTACTTTCATCTAATTTCTTTTTTGTTCAGCTGTTGTGCTCCTTTCTGCTTTATTCTGCCAACTACAACATTTTTGTTCTAACTTTCTGCTAATTTCAGCTCGTCACACTCCTTTCAGCTCATTTCTTCAAGTTTCAACTATTTCGATAATTTCAGCTGCTATTTAGCTGTTTTACGCTCATTTGCGATTTTTCAGATATTTACACATTTTTTTGTATTAATTTAAACTTATAAGCCTAATTGAGCAAAAATGTGCTCTCTCCACATCATTCTTGGCATTTAAGTTTTTTTTTATTTATTAATTTTTTTTAGCTACTTTTAAGCCGCTATTTTTTTTTTTGCAATTTTTTTTC